CTGGCCTTACTACTAGGAGCAAGGACGCTACTAGGGGCTCCTGGCCTTGGTACTAGGAGCAAGGACGCTACTAGGGCTCCGGCCTTACTACTAGGAGCAAGGACGCTACAGGGGCTCCTGGCACTAGGAGCTAGGAGCAAGGACGCTACTAGGGGCTCCTGGCCTTACCACTGGGAGCAAGGACGCTACTAGGGGCTCCTGGCCTTACTACTAGGAGCAAGGACGCTACTAGCTCCTGACCTTACTACTAGGAGCAAGGACGCTACTAGGGGCTCCTGGCCTTACTACTAGGAGCAAGGACGCTACTAGGGGGCTCCTGGCCTTACTACTAGGAGCAAGGACGCTACTAGGGGCAAGCTATTAGGAGAGATACTTGCAGTTGTGTTTGTTCCAAAGCGTGAGATGCAAAGAGGACATTCCCTCAGACCGTCTTGGGGGTCCGACGTTTAGGGCCCAAATGCACTTGTTCCTAGTAGCGTGGCACTTGTTTCTAATAGCTTTTTGTTACTACTAGCGTGGCACCTGTTACTACTAGCGTGGCACTTGTTACTACTAGCGTGGCACTTGTTACAACTAGCTTCTTGTTACTAGTAGTAAGGCACTTGTTACTACTAGCGTGGCACTTGTTACTACTAGCTTCTTGCTACTAGTAGTAAGGCACTTGTTACTACTAGCGATGCACTTGTTACTGCCAAATGGTCTTTGTGTTGAGATGTGCAGGACCTTGAAGGCTTAAATGCTATTTTGGGTCTGAGTTTTGTCGGAACAAAACTAGACGACGAGTGGCCCGAAAGCATTCTTCATCACGTAGGAAGTCAGAGTGCGAGTTATTTGTTAAGTGTGCAGTGTGAAGTGTTAAGTCGAGTGAGTTGAGGTAGTGTGTGGGTTTCTGTGCGTACTACAGAGTCGCCAGTTCTCATCTTCCAGCTCCCCAGCTACTCCGCGTACTAAAGTTGTACTACAAAGTCGCCAGTTCTCAGCTTCCAGCTCCACAGATTGCTCCGCGTTGTACTACAAAGTCGCCAGTTCTCATCTTCCAGCTCCCCAGCTAGTCCGCGTACTAAAGTTGTACCACAAAGTCACCAGTTCTCATCTTCCAACTCCCCAGCTACTCCGCGTACTACAGTTGTACTACAGAGTCGCCCGTTCTCATCTTCCCACTCCCCAGCTACTCCGCGCACTAACGTTGTACTACCAAGTCGCCAGTTCTCATCTTCCAGCTCCCCGGCTACTCCGCGTTCTCAGCTTCCAGCTCCACAGATTGCTCCGCGTACTAAAGTTGTACTAGAAAGGCACAATCTCCGCAGAGGGTTGCGCGGTACTTTCACAAATCGCGCTCTCGCCTGCATTTCGCGCACTCGACACGCAC